ATGTTTTGGTGAAGTAATTTGAGCTCTTGGAATATTTTAATCCTTCACAATTTTCACACTTTATTCCAACACTATTCAGTGACAAACAAACAAAACACTACATTTTCTGAAATATTTGTGGGGTTTTTCTTGTTTGTTTTTATACTACTTGAAAACTAAAGTGACCCTCCAATGTGATGACAGTGCCAGCAGTGGCCCACAGCTCATTTAACGCTTTCTCCTAATTGACTCATAACAGTCTCTCATATGTATGAACTATGTAGGCTATCTCTATTTTGAAACAATGAGTGGGCAACGACAGCATCTCCTCATTGTGTACTTTACTGACAACAGGACAACAGGGAATACAGAGAAACTGACTGAGGACTTTTTCCAACTGGTGCCAGCAGAACCACTTCCAGATCAACACTCCGAAAACCAAGGAGCAGGTAGTGGACTCCACCTACACCAGTGAACATCCAGAGAATGGGCATTAAGATAGCTGACTCATATAAGTGATCTGACCAATAAACTGATCTGGAGTAGCAACAGAGAGTCCATGTACACAAAAGGATAGAGACGAGACGGTTGTATTTGCAACAGAGAAGTCTTTTGGAAGGGAGCAGGGAGAGCTCCTGAAGACCTTCTAGGACTCTTTGGTGGTATTGTCCATGTTTTATAGTGTGGTCTGCTGGGGACAGGAAGAAACTGAAAAGGTTGATCAAGAAAACTAGCTCTGTTCTGGGATGCCCTCTTGACCCAGTGGAGGTAGTTATCTCTGTCAGATAACAGCTCCCACCCCATACAGGTCACTCTGACAACACTAAGCAGTCCCTCCAGTGACAGGCTGCTGCACCCACGGTGTGCAAAGGGGACATTTTGGAGGCCTTTCCCTCTAGCTGTTGTCAAATTGTACACTGCACAACAGCAGTGAATGTACACCACATATGCACACACACTGGGCTCTTTACATATATCAGTGTGCAATACTAAATACCTGCTACTATTAACACCCAAACACTGCACTATGAAATGTTTCATTCTTCTTCTAATAGTAATCTGTATTATTGCATCATATATATGTACATGTATGTATACAGATCAATGATACAGATATATATAGATAGATGGATATAGATATATAGACTTAAATATATAAGTACATATCTATTTCTTAGTCTATATTTCTTCTATTTTTGCATAGCATTATTGATGTCAGGTATGCTGCATGTGTTCATTTGTTCCTGCCTTGTGTACTCTGCTGCAGTAATAATTTGAATTTCCCCAACTCTGGGACTAACAAAGGTTATCTTATCTGAAATGTATCTAAACCCAGCTGATATCTGGCTACATTTTCTGGTGAGCATCCAAATCACACTGGATTGAGGTTTACACACTGTATAATGCCTGATTTCTTGTAAATATTTAACGATGGCCTTGTGAAATATATATTGATAAAATGTTTACCAGGCCACAGTGAACAATGAAAAATAAAATTAAAACAAATAATTGAAAACACTGAAAAACACTCACAAATATATTTTGTAGAGATGACGCATTTGTCTTAACCTGGTTATGCTGTACCATCCAGATGAAGACGTGAGCCAAAGAGCCTTTAAGTTTCATTTAATGAACTTACCTTTTCCTACATATGAGAAATGAGCTGGTGTGAAGTAAATTGGATTTTGTATATCTGTAGCCTCAGATGAGCATGAAATTTCATTTCTGACTTGACCTGCTTAACAGCAGTCTCAAATATTAAAGTCTTGGTGTTAGGATGTGGAGGATGTGCCAGAAATGTTTGTTAAAACAAATAACTGGACCTTACTTGTTAAGCTCAATGTTCTCACTGTCACATGGAAAAATCTATGTTTTTTTCCCTAATAAATATACATTAATTTTAGGCAAGGCTGGACTGGGACAAAAAATCAGCCCGGGCATTTTGACTAGAGACCGGCCCACCAGGTATTACAGGAAAAACCATAAAGCCTTTGAATGAAAACAAACGTCGTTGTGACAGTGATGTACAGTGTCTTGTTGGTACATATGTATCAATCTAATAAACTTAAACCTACACCATCCTCCCTATTCTGGTATTCTAAGCAGTACTTAGCCAAAACCCAAAGACTGCTTGGTTGAGTTAACTTCCTGAACTATCTACAACATATGGTGGAAACCTGAAATTAAGACAGAGAAGACTAGAGGTGAGACATGACCATTACTGAATATTAAAAATAATAAATGACAGATTTAGTGATATTTTCATAAACTATTTATTTACCACATCAATAAACAGCATGGCAGGGCAAAATATTTTTTCTAACATGGAAACCTTTTAAAAGTGAAAGGAGACAGAAAGACAGGTGAGAAAGAATAAAACTTAACTGACTTTTCGATGGCATTTTACACAAAGTACTAGTACAGTATCTAGAAAATGTGGGAAAATACTGGCATCATGTACAGTACTTTCTTCTGAAGAAATTATGTTGGGACCCTGAAAAAAACTTACTATGTACAATAATGGATTTCTATAAATTTGACATCGGATGAAAACTTTGGTTGTAAGATTCGGATAATTATTTGTTGAAAGCTAGAAATTTTAAATGAGAATAAGAAAGAAAAGTATTTCTTTGTGCCCCCTTTCCCTGTTAATGCTCTACCTGGCCCCATGGCAAAACTTTGCTAGACCCGCCCCTGCACAGTTACCAGCTGTCAGCTATATAGAAAAGGTGTAAGCTGTCTCTCAGAAACAGTTCATGGCTTTCCTTCAACCCATTCATGTCACCTAAAAGGTAAAACCTATTTCTCCATCACCTGTTCAGCGCTGATGATTCAGTAAGGACATCTCCTGGTTTCATCTTCATGTTTCCCTCTCACCAGATAACCAAACCGATATCATGGCCAGCAGCTTTTACAGCTGTGGCTCCAACAAACATCAGCTGTTACTAGAAAGTGATATTAAATAAATTCTAACAACAGCTTATCAAGTTTAAAGGCGCTTCTGCTGTTTAACACGACCTCTGCTAGTTTCCTCTTTCTGGCGCAAAGCGGGAGATAAACAAGCAAGAGAGACGGGACTTGTGGCAGAAACGCCGATCAGCTGATCATTGATCAGTTTCATGATTGAAGTAGCAGCAGGAGAGGGAGAACGAGAGAAGAAGAGGCAGCTGTGCAGCAAAGACACAGAATAACTCCAGCTTTTTGTCTTTTTTTATTGTAGCTGAAGTACGGGACAAATCGCTTTTATTTTCAGCTCAATACAAAACGCATAATATTAACTCTGAATACCAGAGGATTCCGTTTTTTATGGCACGGTTGGCTCTACTAACTAACCATATGAATAAAATAAAGTTCACCAGTAACATCATAGCACCCACCCAACTGTACAGAAACTCCATCATGCTAGCTAGTACACAGTACGAGTTACTGTAACTGACTGTAAAAAGTTAGCACAAGGAAAATAAACTCCACCTAAACTTGGTTTGACCCAGATAGACTGCAGGTCATAACTTCTTACCTGAAGCTCATTTCACCTGACAGTCGGACTGGCGGCCGCCTTGCGTCTCTCCACCTCCAGTCCTTTCCCCCATCCACCTGCTGGCCTCCACCACTTGCTAATTTGACTGAATGTGTGAAAGCTCCACCATAGCCACTACCAAACAACTGAGTTATTTTTACACGTCTGCCAGCATCTGTCCAATCCGCCACCTTTCACTGTTTACACAGTTAGGAAAAAAAGACAACAACAACAACAACAACAAAACATTGGGCCATTTAAAAGGCAAAATTAGCATCGGCCCACCGGGCAAATGGCCGGTATACCCGATGCCCCACAGACAGACTGAGGCCCCGCCGCTATTTTTGAGTGCAAAAATGTGTGGTCTCCAGCTAATGGAAAAGGCTGATCGCGTAGTGCTCTTTAAATAGAACAATTTGCCCCATTCTCTTCGCCCGTCATGTGGCCACATGTGGCGGGCTAGCAGGCTAGCAACATACAGGCCCGGGTTCGAGCCCTCGGCTCACTTCCCTCTGTATGTTCACCTGCTAGGGGGAGGTCCAGGCGGGCGATCTTGGAGTGAAAATTCCAAGGGATGACCCCTCGTAGCCTGGGCTTCCCCTGACTTTTTTTCTTTGCTTTGCTTTTTTTCATTTACCTGCCAGCAACAAACACACCTCCTTGTTGTCATGGCTACCAACGACCACTCTTCTTGTGCCAACAAGTCATTGCCTGACAAAACATTATTTCCTATGTTTCCCTGGCTTTTTTGCCTTTTTTATTTCTTGTGTTTTAGACAAAAAGAAAAGAAAAAGATCTACAGATTCAGGCTTTTCTTTACCTGTGGTAGTCGGGTAGAATGACGTCACTGACACTATTTAATATGAAAACAAACTTTCTCAAACAAAAAACAAAAACAAAAAAGGAGTGGGTCGGTGTGTCATCTTTACCGAGCACCATACATGTTTTGCTTCACATTCAAATTATTATTTTTCCTTTTCAAAAATAATTCAGAGAGAAAAAAAACAGAGAAGTCAAATATATCAAATTTGCACGAATCTTCTAGTGAAGGTGCCTCCTCCTTCTGACCTTAGGGTAACTAATTTCTCAGACAGTGACATGACAGTGCGCTGGGAAGCTGCAGCTGATGATGATGTTTCTTACCTCACTAAGTGGAGGCGACCTGAGACAGGTGGGGAAGAACTATTGGATTGTTGGGGTACATATTATGAAGTAAAAAAAATACAATATCTCAATAAACTGTTGTCCTGTGTCTTAAGGAGTATGAGATATCACTGTCTGCACTCTATGGAGATGGAGCTCAGAGTGAAGCTGTGGCCATACGCTACAGCACCTGTGAGTCACACATTTTCTGATCCTGAACGTTTGTCAAACTCAGGAGGGGAGAGCCTGAAACCATTTACCTAAGTGACATTAGCAGCAGTGTTCAGCCTAAAAAATAGACAAGTTAAAAGTCATGCATCCATATTATTTGTTTATTTATTAAATTATTTTCGAGACACTGTTAGTTGTTAGAAGCCAGTGTTTTAATGACAGGACATATATGACAGTAATGAGACAACCTAAGATATCCAAGATTAGCACAAAAACACAAATAGAATCACAGAAAGCGTGTTTCTCTCCCGTTAGTCTTTAGGCCCAGTTACCTTTTACTTTTCTGTGGTCAGTAGCCCTTCATGTCATATTCTGTCTCTATGTACAATATAGCATTACTAATACAATAACCTATATGTAAATGAACTTCATTGTGTAATTGATGGCAGTTCTCAAAGTACTAGTCACTTAAAGGTTAAATTTCACATCGAAATTCTCATATTATATTCTATTTGAATGTTTAAAAAGAAAAATATCACAGTATTTATGCTTTCACTGAGCATATACCTGCATCAATGATGAACTCTCAAGGCTGAAAAGTCCTGGCTTTGGTCAGCCACGGTCCACGCACACGCACACGTCACCAATCCCTGACTGCTTGATCATAACAGCAATTGGGCTGCTGGGAACATGACGGGCGTTCTTCTTGATGTTAACAAGGTGCTCACCAATCTCCCTGGGAACAAACGAGATTCCTAAGACAGACCGACAAAACAGATGTTAACAACGCTTATTCTTGTGTGTGCATGCAGCCCGTTTCAGTTGCTCCTGCTTCTTTCTCCACGCTTTAACTTTTATTACTTTCCCCCTCTGTCTTTTACTTAAGGGTTAATAAAGTATTTGGATTCTGATGAGTCTCATTGTTTAGCAAACTTCTCACTTATCAGACGGACACTCACCAATGTGAGCGTTACGCAGCATCTTCAGCAGGCAGGGCTCCTCTGGGCCTGAGGGTGTTGTAAGAGGGGCTGTCAGCTGGCTGAGGTCAAGCTCGCCTATGTCCAGTGGAATATCTGCAGCAGAGCCCGCCTTCAGTGAAGTATGTTGGCTGGAAGGCTTTCAGGCCCGTCTTTGCCACTCCAGGGTCAGAGACCTTCACCTTGTTTGGATGACAGCCTGCTCTGATATTCATCTGTGGGCACAAACACCAAAACTCAAGAGACTTTTCAGTGAGAAGAAAAGGCAAACCTTGCATGCCAGAGTGAAAGTGAGAGTGTGTGAGTGCATACTCACCCTGAATGGACTCTCAGGGATGTTAGCGTCTCCCCAGGAGACCATCACAGTGTGCTTCACAGGCTTACGTGGGGTGCAGGTGTATGTGCTGTTGCTATTATCCTTAACCTGGACATCCACAGAATTGACTTCACCATCCTGTGCAGAAGACAAGGGATTATAGTTCAATCAGATTTAACACACTGTATTTTTCGGACCATAAGGCGCACTGTCGATGAACAGGTCTGGTTTCATACATGAGGCGCACTGGACTATAAAACGCATTAAGCGAAACAAAACAGCCAGATAAGTCAAACTTTACTCAACTCTTTCTTCTTGCTTCCTCCACTTCCGTACCATTGATTCATTCATGTTGAAATCTCTCGCAGCTGCTCTATTCTCATGTTCTACTGCGTGACTGACAGCCTTGAGTTTGAAATCCGCTTCGTCAGCATGTCTCTTAACAGGTGGCATTTTGGGGTCATGATCCACACACAATACAGTAATATTATGTTGCAGCACAGTACGTATCACTCCGCCAGGCTCCTGACTACGTAGCCGTAATGCTCCGACAATCCATCAAGCGGTGCGACTTCGTAGCTTACCAAAGTCGTACTAAAACATTTTTTGACAGATTTTTAAGCGCCGTGTATTACATAAAATCGGTTCAAGGTCAATAAGCACAACCAGAATTCATACATAAGGCGCACTGTCGATTTTTGAGAGATAATTAAAGGATTTTAAGTGCGACTCTTTTGAAGGGAGGAAGGTTCAGGGCTGAAGCAATCAGCTTCATGGGCTCATCCGGTTAGAATAAGAAAAGCAGCCATCTAATGCAGAATTATTTTCAGGGTACTCCTTTTATTCTTAAATAAATAAGGCAAAAGAAGGAAGGAAACAAAGACACACATGGACTGCCAATGCTCAGCTGCCGCCCCGTGTGGAAGTGAGGAAAGAGTGAGCCAAAAGTGAATGCAGTCCTTATATACTGTGTGACATATAATGTGTGACAGGTGAGTGCAATCAAGGACAAGCACCACACCCAATCAAAGGTGAGAGAACTAAACAAGGTGCATCTGGTGAAGTGAGTGGGTGTGCTGGGATGTGCTAAAAGGTGGGTCTCTACAACAGCCGCCCCCATATTTCTAGTGAGAAATATGTTGATATGATCAGGATCAGTCTTCGTCAGGAAGCGAGGGCAGGGGATCAGACAGGAGACAGGGCAGATATAGGTTTTATCCTGTACTAAGACCTCCACAGTTCTGATGTGGTCATCTGGGCTTTTCAGCAAGCGCGTCACTCTTCCTACAGGCCAAAGGGCTCGTGGAAGGTGTGAATCCATAATCATGACGACAGAGTTCAATGTGAGATCTGGTTTTTCCTTCTGCCATTTGGGTCTTCTTTGGAGGGATGGTAGATAGTCTCTTATGAAGTGTCGCCAGAAGTGATCTGCCAATATTTGTGCATGTCGCCATCGTCGTCGGCCTAGGAGGTCAGAATCAGAATAGGATACCAGGGGAAGTGATGAATCATGTCGGCCCATAAGGAGAAGGTTTGGGGTTACGGGGTCAATGTCCGCAATGTCTGAGGATACATAGCCTAGGGGTTTTGAGTTCAGAATGCCTTCAATCTCAATTAGGACTGTTCTTAAGACCTCTTCAGTGACCATCTGTGCACCAATGGTTCTCTTCAGAGCATTCTTCACAGAACGTATCTCCCTCTCCCAGGCTCCACCGAAATGGGGTGCATGCGGGGGATTGAATTTGAAATGGATTCTTTTAGTCATCAGGACCGGCTGTAGAGTCGGAGCAAGGTTGTTAAAAGCTGCCCGTAGTTCCTTATCTCCTCCTTTGAAGTTAGTTCCTTGATCACATATAATTTCCAGGGGTGTTCCTCGTCGAGAAATGAATCGTTGGAGGGCCATGAGGAAGGAGTCTGTATCCATACTGTTTAGGAGGTCAAGATGTATACACCAAGTGGTGAGACATTTGAATATTATTCCCCACCTTTTCTCCGATCTGCGGCCTGTCTTGACCTTGTATGGTCCAAAGCAGTCTATTCCTGTGGAGTAGAAAGGTGGTTTGAATAACCTAAGACGAGCAGCAGGCAAGTCTGACATTTTTGGAATGATGGGCTGTGCTCTCCATTTCTGACATGCGACACAGCTATACCGATGCCTGCGTACGGCTTCCCTTCCTCTGAGAATCCAGAATTTCCGACGTAGTTCAGCAAAAAGTCTTTCTGAACCAGCATGATGCAGTTTGTCATCATAATTTTGTATGATCAGTTTGGTCACTGGATGAGCAGGATCAAGTACTATTGGGTGAATGACATTCAATTCCAAGTCTGGGCTTTGCCGTAATCGGCCTCCTACATGGATAAGTCCAGAATTCCTGCACAACACTGGTGACAAACACAATAGACTGCTGTCGGATGAGAGGGGTTTGTCTGACTGTAAACGGGCTAAGTCTTCACCGAAACTGTCCAGTTGTGCCTGACGAAGGATTTCTTGTTCTGCTGTTTGATAATCAGCTGCAGAAGGAATGTTACCCTTTTGGTTGGAGAGTGAATGAGCCGTGAAATCCAATAGCTCTTGATACGTTCTGAAGCTGGGTGTGTATGTATGGGAGGGTATACTGACAATACAAAAAAGTAGGATTTCTTTAACTCAGTCTGATCATCATCAGGATGGAGATCTGTAACTGTGGGCCAGTTATTTGGAGGTTCATGCAGAAACGAGGGACCCTCAGTCCACCTGTTTGGGCTAAGGAACTCTTTCAGGGATTTACCTCTCGTAACATCATCAGCAGGATTTGTGGCTGAATTGATGTATCTCCAGTCTTGACTGTTTGTGAGGTTTGAATTTCTGAGACTCTGGCTCCTACGAATACCTTGAAACGGCAGGAATCTGACTGAAGCCAGTGAAGTACAGTTGTCGAGTCAGACCAAAGGGTGGTAGTCCTGACTGGTAAGGTGAGTTCTGTTTGTATGAGCTCACTGAGGCGTGCGCCTAGTAGGGCTGCGCATAGCTCCAGTCTGGGTATTGTTAAATGCCGTTTAGGAGCAACACGTGAGCGAGCTAACAAGAAACTCAGTTCCACGTGACCTTCAAGATCATCTGATCTCAAATATGCGACAGCACCATACGCTCGCTCCGAAGCATCACAGAAGATATGAATGTCTCGAACTGTGGTAGAAACATCCATTTCCTTAGAAGTATAGCAACGTGGGATGGCAATTTGTGGGAGATAACAAAGTTCTTCTTCCCAGGACTTCCATGCCTCTAAGAGGTCGTGTGGAAGGGAGGGGTCGTCCCAATCCTCTCTTTTCTCCATAGCTCTTGCACCAAGGTTTTGGCGCGTGTTGTGAATGGGAGTAAGTAGCCTAATGGGTCATACAGACGAGCAAGTACTGCATAGATACGACGCATTGTGGTGGGGTGTGAGGCTAGAGTTCTGTATTTATAGGCAAACAAATCAGTCTCACAATTCCACAATAATCCTAATGTGCGTTCATGTGGCCAGATGGCTTGTCTTCAGTCAGGCAAAGTTCATTACTTGCCGTTCTTACCTCAGATGGTAGATGGCTAATCACAACAGGATTATTGCTGGCCCACTGGCAAAGGTCGAAGCCTCCTTCTGATAGATGGTTTCTTAATTTGTCTAGGAGTGTTCGAGCTAACTCTGCTGATGGAAAACTCTGCAAGCAGTTATCAACATAGAAACACTGCATTACTGAAGACTGCACATCTTTGTCAGATTGATATTCCTTCACATGTTTCTGCAGTGCATAGATTGCACAACCAGGGCTGCAGGTCGTGCCAAAGGGAGTACCTGCCACTCATACACTGAAGGGGGAGCTGCTTTGTTCATGTCACGCCACAGGAATCGGAGGAGTGGTTTATCAGGAGGCAGAAGACGGACTTGGTGAAACATGCCTTTGATGTCGCCACTTATTGCTACTGAATGTTGCCTAAAACGCAACAAAACACCAAGAAGTGTTGGGCCTAGGATTGGTCCTGGCAATAGGTACTTATTGAGACACTGACCTTGAAATGTGAAAGAGCAGTCAAAGACTATGCGATCTTTATTGTTGTGACTTGTCATATGATGAGGGATATACCAGGTTTCTTTGCTATTGTGCATCTCCTCTGGGCTAAGTTTGACTATATAGCCTGCTTGCTCCAATTTCAAAATCTGATCCTTGTAAGACATGGCTTTGCCAGGATCTTTAGCTAACCGAGCCTCAGTGTTGCGGAGTCTAGACATGACTACATTTGGAGGGACATTCAAAGGAGGAAAGTTTGCCATCCGAAGAAGAGGAGTGGCGTAGCGATTAACACCATTGATCTCAACCCTTTTTGTGGCCTGTTCAAGGAGTTCCAGTGCCAGTTGATCTTGCTTTGATCGGATCACAGATTTCTCACTGTATCAGGTAAAGTGTCTAGTTGCCATAGCTTCTCAACATGATAACGCAGTACATCTGCAGATGAACTGAGAGATGTGAACAAACACTGCACGTGCTCTGTACTGCTCTGGGGATGAAAATCTGTGATCGGGCCTTGAAGTGTCCATCCTAATGGGTTTTAACTCCTGCAGGAGACCCATATGGTCCCTGTCTCAATGGAGCAGTAGGCGTGATGAGGTGAGTATGATCTGAGCCTATGAGCAGGAGTGGCGCTGCTTTATTAATAATGGGTAATGGGATACCTTGAAGATGCTTGTATCTCCGTTGGAGAGATGATACAGGGTAGGTGTGGTCTGAAAGTGCTAGGTGATTTGCAGTGAAGGCATTAGTAATTGTGTAGGTTTTCTCTGGGTGTGCGATGGGTGAGATTTTGAAACTTACGGAAGAACCATGAATAGTTTCAACTTCTTGACGGACCGTTCTAAGTGATAATCTCTCTGCTTCCCCAGTTAGGTTGAGATGCTGTGCAGCTGATGTCAGAAGAATGGTACGCTGGGAGCCATCGTCAAGTACTGCGTATATTTCAAGGGTTCTTTTGCCATTTCGCAGGAGCACTTTCACGACCTTCAAAAGGACACTAGGACAATCACTAGGTCTATCAAAGTATAGCGTCCTCACTACAGGATGAGTGTCAGTTTTAGATCTCTTATTTACATCGCATAGGATCTGGAGATGTAGTCCCATACAGGTGGCACATGCTTTCTTTAGGTCACACTTTGCGGCC